CAGACTTTTTTTTTTTAACTAATAACACAAACCACTACCTGAACACGACCAGAACACAAACCGTTACACAGACCATTACTCTAACCCTAACACAAACCACAACACAAACCCTAACACAAACCCTAACACAAACCCTAACACAAACCCTAACACAAACCCTAACACAAACCCTAACACAAACCCTAACACAAACCCTAACACAAACCCTAACACAAACCCTAACACAAACCCTAACACAAACCCTAACACAAACCCTAACACAAACCCTAACACAAACCCTAACACAAACCCTAACACAAACCCTAACACAAACCCTAACACAAACCATAACACTAACCATGACACAAACCACTGCTTAAACACGGCCATAACACGAGCCGCAACAAACCGCAACACAAACTACAACACAAACCATGACAGGTCGCCACGATAAGCCATCACAGACTTTGACATTTCAACTCCGGTCTAGTCAATTCATCGACTTAAGCAAGTCTCACTTACGATCAACCTTCCTTATTTTAAACATATTCTCATTTTAGATCAATTTTTTAAATTTAAAAACCTTAATATCTTTATACAAGAGTCGTTGTCCTATTACCACCCCCCCCCCCCCTCCCAAATTTAAAAAAAACTCCATTTAACATAATCGGATATTCTGAGCTTATTTTCCATTTTTATACTGCTGGTGATGGAAAAAATTTTTTTTTATTAATTACAGATAAGAATTAATGAGGCCTACATTATTAATTATGGGGGCTAAAGACTACGGCTACACACATGTAAACTGTGACATTTGCCATGCTAAAACTGAACACATTAGATCACTTGAGTTCTTTCTAATCCCATCTAGCGGCCGGTTGAAAAAGTATAAATAGATTAGGTTTAAATCGTGGGTTAGTGCAGTCATTAGGGTCACGGTTTAGGATTAAGTTTAACCCTACGTCGATACGGATAGCCATGGGGAGGGGGATTATTTTCCGTCTCTGGTTACAAAAAGAGTTCAGTCCCCTTTCTCCTCCGAAGTTGTCTCCCTTATCAGGCGCGGATGTCCGTGGTAGAGAGCCCACAGGATCTGTCTGCGAGACTTCCTGTCAGCGGTCATATTAGACGCCGGAGTTATCCGCCCTTGCGCGGAGTTATACCGGCACAAGTTGGGTTTTACTGGCACATGAGGTGCTGTACCGGCCACAAGTTGTACTGGCCACAAGTTTTACTGGCCACAAGTTGTACCGGCCACAGGTTGTACTGGCCACAAGTTGTACTGGCCACAAGTTGCACTGGCTACATGAGGTGCTGTACTGGCCACAAGTTGTACTGGCCACAAGCTGTACTGGCCACAAGTTGTACTGGCCACAAGTTGTACTGTCCAAAAGTTGTACCGGCCACAAGGTGTACTTGCCACGAGTTGTACTGGCCACATGAGGTGTACTGACCACAAGTTGTACTGGCCACAAGTTGTACCCGCCCAAAGTTGTACCGGCCACAAATGTTACTAGTCACCAAGGTGTACTGACCAGTGGCCATAAGTTGTACTGACCACAAGTAAGTTCTACCCCCCCCCCCCCCTGTGCACTCCTGACTAAAACCCCGCCCCCACTCCCAACAAAATCAACAGTACAATCCTATCAGCTCCGTACTCACGAAGTACTGTAATTAAAATTCTAGTGCTGTCTCTCCCCCTCAACTGACCAGCCCACCTCGCCCCATCCTCTCAATGTAAAGCAATGACCATTGGTTCGCCTCGTCTCCATGTCCACCATTCACGTCCAGCAAATGAAAACTAAACATTTGTTTAGATGACTCGCCACCCTCGACTTTCGCGACCCCTCCGGTATTGATACTAGTATTACTTGTACTCGCCAGGGGAGATAATTTCTTTAACTAACCATTGTTGATTCGGAGTTCACTCCCCCTGAATGTTTCTATTCGCAGTTTCTGTAAGATTGAATAGCGTACAGTTTCTATAAGCTAAATAAGTATTTCGTTAAGTTCCTTTAGCCAGAGGTTTCGTACTGTTGCCCACGGGTTAACTCCCCTTTCCCTATCTCGGTTCCTTTGTTGTTTTAACCAGCCACGAGCCTTCCCGTGCAAATGTGTGGTGGGGGTACACACTCGCTAATGAGTTAATTAATAAGCGTGGTCGGCGACCTACAACGGCAGGCTGGCAACAATGGGAAACACGTGTGTAGCACGGTGCGACTCGCGCGAGACCTCGCCACGAGAAAGCGCGTTGTTCGCCAACCGGACATGACGTAAACTCGCAACACATTTCTGGTCAAAGTCCAGTCGCGAGTAGCACAGAAACTCGCATCAAAGTACCAACACTCGGAACATCTGCTGGCTGGAATATCACGTCACGGCGCCTCGGTTTCATTCCACGACTCGCTATGAAAGCTCGGTATAAAAGCTTTCACGCCGAATTTTCTCCCCTTTTCAAACGAACCCGAGCAGAAACCGGCGCAGACGACACCCGGACCCCGCGGAGCCTTGTATAGCACGTCCGGCCCGTAACAGTCGGACAAACCGACGGACAGACTCGTGAACCGACTCGTGTGTACCGCTACTGGTGCATTTTTCGTCGGGCAAATTTTCCCCTCTTTCAGCACTTAGACAGCATTCATGAAACTACGGAACACCGGTTTATCATTTTGTACGGAAAAAACGGACCACAGTGTAAAACGCTTGCATATTGTACATAGCACCTATTCTAAATAAAATAAAATAAAAAGTTAACCAAAATATAAACGATTGTAATAAGTATCGTGGTCAACAGAAATACTCACAGGATATTTTAACGGTCAGGGTTCGAATCTGTTATCGTCTGCCAATATTTAAACTGCCCCAGCGTATGTTATCAGCTACGAATAAGGTCTTAGATATGCTATTATCAACTACCAGTAAGGTCTTTCTAATCTTTAGCACTTTTTTTTTTAAACCGTCGCTTATCGTTAGCTGTTGCGTCATACAATTTCCTACCAAGTATAAGTCATGATTGCATTTACAAATTCAGTACCTTCTAGATCTATTACATAACATAATTATGAAAGTACAATGGAATAAGGCATGATGTTTTTCTGCTATAAAATAATTTAATTTTCCTCAATGATTTTTTTTTTACAGAGTCAAGAAAGTCATTCAAGTACAATCAGTTATTCTATCCACTTACTGATGATAAATCATTGACACTAATTGGCCACTCTTAGTCGAGTTCAGGCCAAGAGTTAAAAAACCATTTCTAACGCATATGAGTTTCCATACTTTTTATTTTTCCACCCTAATTTTTTCCCCCTCAAGGCCCCATTCATTTCAGAGATCCCGGTCTCCCCCTCCCCCCTACCCCCACGTCTAGCCCACGGCGTGAAGGGCGATTTTTACGGCACACTATCAGCTAACGATCATATTTACGGAGACGGTGGCGAGGTCTCAGCTGCGGAACACCGCGAGGGAAACCTCACGCACGGAAACCAGGGCAAAGGCGGCTTATGGATTGCACTACCAACCAGTTGGTACTCGTTTTCATCACTGCTACATGCTAGGAATAGATAATAACGTACATTCTCCGACACAATTACCAACAATTATTAACTTAATGTAATTAGTATTATAAAACATTGTACATTTTATGTTAAAGCTATTGTAAAAGTGTAGTTATTTAATTATGAAATGAATTCGAATGAATTTTTTTCCGAGGCCAGTTATATCAGCATAAGAGGTCGACTTGGGGTAAATCAAGGGTTTTGCGGGATTCAAGAGAACGCCTCACCTCCCCTCGTGAATCGATACGTCGGCTCGTCTACACGCGGCAGATGACACGAGGACAGGAAGTGACGTCTGCCGTTTGGATCTACGTGTAAAAAAACAAACCATGACTTGACCAGTACCTACGGACCGGGCTAGACCTCAACACAAAGTCTTTGTGCTGACCGCTGACTGCTAAAATATTCGGAGATAATTTAGAAAACTCTTAGCCATTTTGGGAAATAGAACTACAAGTTACAAGGGTCACATTTTAGGGGGTCGAACTTTTGTGACAATATGTGACCAAAGGAGGAGAAGGGATGGGGGGGGGGGGGGGGCATACTTACGCATCTTAGAATTTTTTTAAAAAGACTTTTTTTTAAAACTGATGATTTCAGCTGTTATTAATACTTTTTTTTTAAATGTAATAAAAACTCCAGTAAACCCAATGATAACCCAGCTCAGTGATAGTTTAGAGACAGCTAAACTAGATCTAAATGGCTGTTTCAATCAACAAATAGTGTAATTTGCGACTATATTAAGGGGGAGGGGTCGTCAAAAAGTGTGACGCCATTTAAGGTAAACTTGGAACTTAACGTCTAAAACCTGAGAGGTAAGAGTTGAACCCTGATCTCAAACTTCAAAGCTTAGTTCCCCCCCCCCCCCCCCCCCCCAACCCAGAGCTAACACCTCAAATAATTGAGCTGGTGTTATGTGTTGTAATTGATTTGATGGGGTCCAAGTTGAAGGTCAAACGGTGATTCTAGTAGGTCCTATGTCAGCGGTGGAGCACGCACTCACACATTACAGTACTGACCTACACACGGACCCACACACTAACATACTACAACTTGACCCACACTCTTCCACGCTTATCCAAATACTGACCCCAAAAACACAACATCACACTGACCCACACACTACCATACAGACCCACAATCGTATGAACCACACACTTCCACACATCAAGATAAACTTGACACACACATACACATCCTACGCTTTAAGACACATTCACAGTATCGTTTGAACCCCCAACCCAACCCTCAAACCAAATCGGGATCTCACCCCCAAATCTAATCCAAATCTAAAACTAAACATGACCCTAACCTTAACACAAAATATAACCCGCAAGGTTGATTAACAGGAACATTGTTATGAAAGAAGCTTTAACGCAACTTGCCAAAACACATTTTTTTTTTCGATTTTTTTAAACACCGTTCTTGTGATTTCATCATCGATAGTTTTGTCATCAGACGGACCGTCATCATTAGAGCTTTCGTCGTGTCGTCACTGAAGGTGTCGTCACACAACGTATCGTCAGTGGATATGTCGTCACTAGATGTGTCGTCACTAGATGTGTCGTCAGTGGATATGTCGTCACTAGATGTGTCGTCACTGGATGTGTCGTCAGTGGATGTGTCGTCACCAGATGTGTCGTCAGTGGATGTGTCGTCACTAGATGTGTCGTCACTGGATGTGTCGTCAGTGGATATGTCGTCACCAGATGTGTCGTCAGTGGATGTGTCGTCACTGGATGTGTCGTCACTAGATGTGTCGTCACTAGATGTGTCGTCACTAGATGTGTCGTCACTAGATGTGTCGTCACTAGATGTGTCGTCACTAGATGTGTCGTCACTAGATGTGTCGTCAGTGGATATGTCGTCACTAGATGTGTCGTCAGTGGATATGTCGTCACTAGATGTGTCGTCACTAGATGTGTCGTCACTAGATGTGTCGTCACTAGATGTGTCGTCACTAGATGTGTCGTCAGTGGATATGTCGTCACTAGATGTGTCGTCAGTGGATATGTCGTCACTAGATGTGTCGTCAGTGGATGTGTCGTCACTAGATGTGTCGTCACTAGATGTGTCGTCACTAGATGTGTCGTCAGTGAAGGTGTCGTCACACAACGTATCGTCAGTGGATGAGTCGTCACTAGATGTGTCGTCACTAGATGTGTCGTCACTAGATGTGTCGTCACTAGATGTGTCGTCACTAGATGTGTCGTCACTAGATGTGTCGTCACTAGATGTGTCGTCACTAGATGTGTCGTCAGTGAATATGTCGTCACTAGATGTGTCGTCACTAGATGTGTCGTCAGTGAATATGTCGTCACTAGATGTGTCGTCACTAGATGTGTCGTCACTAGATGTGTCGTCACTAGATGTGTCGTCAGTGAATATGTCGTCACTAGATGTGTCGTCACTAGATGTGTCGTCAGTGAATATGTCGTCACTAGATGTGTCGTCGCTAGATGTGTCGTCATTGGATTGTCGCCACTAGACTTTCTGAAATAAGTTGTCGCCAAATCACTCAGATTTTCCAACTATTCCAGTTCACTTCCTCACACTACCATTGGTCGCGACACGAAAAGGTTATATGACCACCGATATCTATCAGGTATATAACTTAATCATGAACGATTACCATCGTTTTAACAATCCACTTTATGTCCTTCGCATTTAAAGAATTTAAAGGTATTTAACATTATAAGTATACCAGGGGGCGGCGTTGTGTGTTTGTATTTCAAAAATCGTGACGTCACATCCCACCCCCAACCTCCCACATATTGTCTTAAATCCAGTGACCCCTCACGTGTCATCATTTATGGAATTAGTGCCGTGTAATAAACGCTGTGAGTAAAAAGAGAAAAAAAATCAACCCAGAACTCGCTGGTAGGTAGCAGTAAAAGCCCTCGTCGTCGCGCTCGCTTCCCTTTGGACTTCGATCGTCGCGGCATCCATTACGAGGGGGCGGGAGAGAAAAAAAAGACATGTTGGGGGAGGCGTGGTTAGAGGAGGCGAGAATGGGGGAGAGGCGGAACGGTGGTGGATTGAATACAGGCCGAACCCGGGGGAGAGAGAGAGAGACGGAGAATTGGAGTAGGGAGAGAGAGAGCGGAGGAGAGACACCACGCCACGGCTGCTGTTGACAGGAAATTCCCCTGAGCTCCGCCGGCTGATTGGGGCTAATGAAGGCCTATGCCGGTCGTTTTCATTCGAGGCCCAAACCGGTCTCCGGTTCGATGCTGGGAGTCCGGGAGTTCGTGCTTGACTGATAGCCCAAGGCAGCTCACGCGATTTGCGAACGTTGGGGTGGACGGATTAGGGAGGGAGGGAGGGGGTGGAGAGAAAGAGAATGGGGAGGAGGGAGAATGAGAGAAGGTGAGAAGGAGAAGATGAATTTGAGTGAGAGAAAGGTAGTATAAAAGTATAGTTGTTTTTTTTTAATTTAAAGACAGAGCTTATCGTTAGAGGAGTGGGGGTGGGGGTAGTTTGTGATGGGGTCAGGGGAGGGGGGGGTGTTTGTGCTGAGGTAGATAGAAAGATGGTAAAGAACGAGAGAATGAGGTAGGGATGAATATGACGCGGCACTGAGTCTAAGTTGGGATAAATTCATTGTGAGGGGGATAGAGAGAGAGAGAGAGAGAGAGAGAGAGAGAAAGTGAGAGAGGGGCGGAGGTCTAAACACACGCACACATGAAACCCAACTTGCCAGCGATTCGCCTGCGGTCGGTCGTCTGATAAATGTATGCATGACATCACCGAAGCGCCCCTTAATAAAGGCCAACTTGCCGATTGATTTGGCCGAGGCCATACTTGGCCTATATCACTAGAGATTGGTACTATCGGTAGGCCCTGGGCGAAAATCTATCGCCCGCCTCCATTTGGTGGAGAAAAAAAATTCAGACCTTTAGGTTTAGGGGGGATGGGAGGGGAGGAAGCACACGTCATCAACAACACACGTCATCAGTTTGTGTGTGGTCTGCCGGTTCACACCGAGGCAGGCTACACACTTGCCAGATAGTTCTGACTCTCCGATCTGTATCACGCACTGGCCAGGTAAACCTACCAATACGCGGGCACGATCGTTACGTCGCGAGCGATGGGTGGACCGCGTAGGGGGCGCTTTAAGCCGATCTGCTTAATTACTATCTTCGGCCGTGGGGGATAAAAACTTCGGGCCGGGGGCAAAGTCTGCTCGGTGGATGAGAGGGACCATGTGTTGTGTCGCATGGGGGCGGGAGGTGGGTGGGGTGGGGGGGGGTAGATTGTTGACCCTCGCGCCGGTGTTGACAGGGTTCGGTGCTGACTCATTGAGATCAATCACCGCTAATTATTTTTGACAAGTTGGTTAGGCGTACCTTAATCGGGTTAACTCAATCGCTTGGTATCGTTTCTAAGCCTAACTCAATCGTTTGGTATCGTTCTAAACCTAACCCTATAGTTTGGTATCGTTCTAAGCCTAACCCTATCGTTTGGTATCGTTCTAACCCTCACCCTAAACCCTATCGTTTGGTATCGTTCCAACCCTATCGTTTGGTATCGATCCAACCCTATCGCTTGGTATCGTTTTGAGCCTAACCATAAACCCGGAACTTTAAACACACCCCTTGGTTGTGCCGCTATAGGGCGGGTGTCTGTCATTAAGACACGTCATCCTTAACTTACCGAGATCTAGACCTTAACCCTTAACTTACCGAGATCTAGACCTTAACCCTTAACTTACCGAGATCTAGACCTTAACCCTTAACTTACCGAGATCTAGACCTTAACCCTTAACTTACCGAGATCTAGACCTTAACCCTTAACTTACCGAGATCTAGACCTTAACCCTTAACTTACCGAGATCTAGACCTTAACCCTTAACTTACCGAGATCTAGACCTTAACCCTTAACTTACCGAGATCTAGACCTTAACCCTTCACTTACCGAGATCTAGACTTACAGTAACCCTTAACTTATCGAGATCTAGACTTACAGTAACCCTTAACTTATCGAGATCTAGACTTACAGTAACCCTTAACTTATCGAGATCTAGACTTACAGTAACCCTTAACTTATCGAGATCTAGACTTTACAGTAACACTTAACCTACCGATGTGCTGTTGCTTTTTAAAGTCGTAACCCGATCACCCAGTGAGCTGGGTAACACAAAAACACACTGTGCTGCGTTGTTTGTGTGTTGTTCCGGCAGACGGAGAGTGTCGTGTGTGGGTGTGTGGGTGGGGGGAAGGAGGTCACGTGGGGTGGCCTAAAAGCCTTATGTTCTAACGGATCTGTCCCGTAGGTAACAAAAATATTCTCTGCTCTAGACGGCGTTAACGGCACGATCTGGTCACGTGGGGGGGGGGGGGGGTAAGAGGAGGAGTGATGATCATAAAAAGATGGGAGGAGGGGTAATGGTGGGCGGTAGATGGGGGGGGGGTAGAAAAGATGTTGCAACTGGGGTGTAGAGCCTAATGATGTGTGAGGGGTTGATGATGTAGGTGGGATGATGTGGTTGTGGATGTGTGAGTAATGATGAGGTGTTTATTGGTAAAGTCTATCCGTTTAGGTGTTGGGAGGGGGAGGTGTATTGTCAGTGGATAGAGATTTGGCGTGTGGGGAAGGGTGAACGAAAAAAAAGGCAGGAAAAATAAACCACAGAAAAAAAGTCAGTTTTTGCTAGGAAAGAAAGTCACAAAGGAAAACAATTTCGGAAAAAAAGCCACAGAAATAGTCACAGCAAAAAGTCACAAATGTGTATTAAGAAATATTTTATTTTACTTTTTGAGAATCGTAAAATTTTGGGTGTGTATAAATATGGGTGGGGTTTTCAAATAATAACCCAACTTTGATCACATCATCACAATAAGTAAAAGTACAAAAGATATCTTACACAGCAGACTCAAATTTCGTTACATATTCATTTAAATATCTGGTTAAAAAAATAAGTATAAAAGAAATAGAGGTACATCGTTGTGTTTTGTTGCTTTTTTGTGTCCGTGGACTGTCGGCCTAGTCCGTACACATTGTGAATTGTTATCGTTTTCAATGACAGCCTTTGTACCGTGTCGGCTTTTTGGTTTGATCCTATGTTTTGTAATGTAATGAGAGCGATAAATGTGGGCAGTAAAGGTGGCTGAACTAATGTTGCGACGGGTTTAGGAAAAAGAAATCATATTAACTATGTCTTCTTGCCATTTCACGCTGATTCAAAGTTTGTATTTTAAAAACACGATGAAAACTGAGTAGGTTTGAACAGTCTACTTAATTCTATTCTATAACTGAATTAAAACCTAAATACTTCAGACTGAATATTTGTACGTGTGTCACAGTATATGTACAACCTACGAACATATTCTCTTTAATGTATACATCACATTTAATTTACCAAGTTGATTTGCATTTTCTAAAATCTTAAAAGTATTAACAAATTCAATGCAATACACACATTTGTGACTTTTTTTCTGTGACTTTTTTTCTGTGACTTTTTCCCCTGTGCCTTTTTTTTCCTACAATCGTGGGGAGGAGGGGTTGTAGAAAGTTTTTGTTTTAGATAGTGGCCTTAGGGTGGGTTACAAGGAGGTGGAGGGTGTCAATGTCCAGTGGATAATTGGTGTTGGGGAGTGACTGGGGTCAGTGGAATATTAAGTGGTCAGAACTTCTTCTTTGTTCTTAATTGTAATGTAGGCAAGGATTTCCTCCAACACAATTAAGTATTACGTGTTATGTGCCATATAGGCCGTTGACTCCGATTTCAGCCTAATTTTCATTCAGGATTTGCTTCCATAGTCTTTGTTCAGTCAAGAACAAACCACTAGGCAGTAGTTGTTTGATTTTGGAGTTGTCTCTCCTAGAAGAGTGGCTGTCCCCTGCTTTAGAACATAATCTGCTTGTGGGTTCGAACTCAGTTTAGTAGCCACGAGCTTTACCGTCCCGACACCTAGTGGCCAGTCGTTATGGGAGGGTGCCAGTTGAGGAATGATGAAAGTCATACTAAACCCGAAGAAGGGCAATCCCACGCCAGGTAATACGGTTACGGTAGGTTGTGACAGTCTAATATAATAACAGGTTTGGCCGTCCATTACAATAAGTGATTTTGGCCGTCCATTACAATATCTGATTTTGGCCGTCCATTATAATAACTGATTTTGGCCGTCCAATACAATAATAAGTTGTGACAGTTCAATACGTTTACAGGTTTTAACCGTCCAATACAGAAATAGGTTTTGGCCGTCCAATATAGTACCAGACCAATACAAACACAAGTTTTACCCGTCCAATTACACGTTTCGGCCGTCCAATACAATATTACACAGTGGCCGTCTAATACAAATTTTTAATAATTAATTTCTTCCTCATTGATACCCATGTGCACCTAACCCCATGAACACAACTAATCCAACGCACTGATAGTACACTACTGTATTTGGAACTATTTGCCCCACACTTTCTGTCGTAAAGGGCTTTTAACTACGGTTGCGTTTTATAATTTTTCTCACTTACCTCCCCTGAACGACCTGTGAATCAGCCGGGCTAATTTCGAGTTTTGTTCGAATGTAATTGCGAGAAATTAAGATGCGAACAATTCGCAGGTGTTTTTATTCGCAATACGGCTGATTAAGCAAACTCGCAATTCGCGAAAAAAATCGTTGCGGGTAGCACGTGTAATATATTAATTCTGCTACATTGACAAGCATGATTAATTAGATTAATTAAACGCCACGCACATAATTAATACAATTTCTAGGACTAGACGGTTTTATCAAAAGTCGGTAATTAAAATTGAGTGCCGGTTTTATTGGTGTCGCTGAATGGTGATCAGCGTCGTTATGTGCGGGTTTGGAACACAATGAGATTTTTTTTTTTCAAATCTTAAAGTGAAGGCTCCGTTTTATTTTCGGTTAACTGTTAGTGGAGCGTAGTGACGTAGGAAGGAAGCTATAATGGAAAGCTGGGGGGGGGGGGGGGGATTTATACACTCACACACACACAGGTTCTATATGTGAGAGAGAGGAGAGTATGTGTGAGTGTGTGTGTGTGTGTGTAAATACCCCCACACCCCCATTACAAATTATTGCCTACGCCACTGTGCACCATTTCATGTACACAATGGAGGGAAAATATTTTTTTTTCCTTTTAATAGCCTGATATAAATTTTGTGGAGTCCCTCTTAACGGAAATGAGACTACTTTATTTATTTCATTTTTAGTGTTTTTGAAATTGTCTAGCCAAGAAAACCATTAACCACTCATAATATGCGTAAGTTTATTGTTTAATAAAATATTGGGAAAAAAAACAGTACAAGGGAAAATACTCAAATATTACTTAGAAAGCATCAATTTTCCTCGGTTATCTCCCCGATACATTTAAAATTTCTACAGCAGTATACTATAAAACTACTGAACAGTGTTGTGGAGCATCAAACCATATAAAAACTTGAATGAAGAAAATAAAATGATTTTCTTGATATAATTGACGTATCATATTTAAGTTAATTTAAAGAAAAGCGGTTATTGCTAAATTATGTAATAAAAGCATTTGGGAAACGACAGGACAACTTTCTGCTGGTGAAGACATTAAGAAAAGAATATGGGGTTGGATAGTACACACACTGTGCAGACCACCAAACAATATAAATGGACAGACACTGAAGTGGAATTCGTAAGGAAATGCAAAAAAAGGTTGGCCAAAAACATCTGGAGACGGGACCTTTAAGCTGGCACTACAAAGACTAGCTACACCTGGAGTCAGGTTGACGTTATTAGATGAGCTCAACCAGTTTAAAATATTATTTTAACTCAACTCAAACCCATGTATAACCCATTTTTTAACCACTGACTTAGGGTCCAACTTTAATTAAATAAGATTTATACGCTAAAAAATATGCAGGAAACTTAATATTGCCGTCACTTGGTGTTATTTCTGCATTATTGACCATTCTATATAATATGCCGCATTTTTGGATATTCTATATTATAAGTTGCATTTTGTGCTATTCTATATTATACGTTGCATTTGGGCTATTCTAGATCTTACACTACATTTGGTTCCACTCTATATTTAATTACACGTTACATTTTGGCCACCTGTTTACAACCCAACCCTAATGACTTTAATTATTAATCACACTTTAGTACACTGTGGCTTTATTCTCTTAAAACCCATATATTGTTGTATACAGTTCAACTTTTTTTTTTGTTTGTTTTATTTATATAAAGGTTTAAAATCAAAGCAGTATTATTTCTTTTAGTTTTTATCTAATTTTTTAAAAATTAAAACACTAAGAGGAGATAAGAAATAAAATTTCCCGATACATAAAAATAAAACAATGGTAGCTTCCCTTTAACTTTATTTTAGCGATGTTGTCCTCTCTTATAGTCGTGACCTAGATTCGTTCTAAAAATAGACATGGCTTTGCGACGGGAATTCCTCTTTTAAATATGACGTCCGAAGTTCCCTATAGGAAGTGACGAATCATACATTTGCATACAGAGGGCAACTTGGTTCATTCAAAGCACAGCAAGAAAGGAACTGTAATAATGTCGGATTCCAAACATTTGTGATTTTTATAAAGGATGTTTAGCTTTAAATGTGTTGTTCACGATGGCTAGCGAGGGGCCAAGAAGGCATGGCCACATGAAAATCCGTCTTACAGGTAACTATAAAAATATATTTTTAGAGTTAGATTGAAAATATGCTGTGTATTTTTATCCTGACTGATGTTGTAGCGAGGGCGAAAATGGCCGCCGCCTAATAAAAATTCCAGTTATTTCTTTCAATATTGATAATGTTGTTATTACGCCTTAGGTGAATTAAACACTGTTCTGGCGAAAATTCTTAACCGACAATATTGCAAGCCTTGATGGTTTCGTTCTTACTTAATCATAATTAAAGCTCATTAGATGACTTTTGAAAGATTGTGCTAGTGTTTATATTAGTTTATAATTTTTATGACTTCTAGTTCTAGAATCTAATAATAAAATGATTTTTTTTAAAAATTTGACTAAAATTTAAAAATTTTAAAAATAAAATCAATAGGCCTAATAAATAAAAAAAACTAAAAAAAGAAGATTTAGTTAGGCCTAGATATTTTTAGATAATGTCATAGTTTTAAGTTTTAGGCCATTATACATTTGTAAGATGCCAACAAAGAAAATGTACAACAAATAATCTGAGAGATTTCTAGACCCTGAAATAAAAACATTAATGAGACCTTGGACCATGTCTAGTTTTATAGTAGACCTAACCTAATGCTAAAAGATCCTGTTTCTTGACCTAGATATAGTAATATTCAGTACTATTTAGGCCCTTTAATACTATTAAGTATTTTTTTTCTATGGAGTAGAATCTAGACTCTAGTAGACCAAACATCTAATTTAGGTTGGCAAAGAATTAGGTTAATTTAAATTGTGTTAGTGTAACCTGCAATTGGACCTCAAAATAAAGTTTGCAAATGTTTAAGCTGCTAGATTTATAATGGAATTTATTAATGATAACTCTAAAGATTATGGTTAGGTTTGATGTGGCTGATGTAGATCTAGTGACGTTTGGTTGTGGAGATAGAGAAATATCAATTTTGTTTATTTTGTTTCACTCTGTCAAGTGAAGAATGAATAGTTAATGTTTCAAACATTGAATGATCTGATGTATTTTGTGATATGTTTTGATCTCTAAATCAAATGACCCGAGATCCCAATGTTAGACATTCATCATTTGCTGTAGTGTACAAACATCAAATTATTTCAATAATGAAAAATGTACAAACATCAAATTATTTCAATAATGAAAAATGTACAAACATCAAATTATTTCAATAATGAAAAGTGTACAAACATCAAATTATTTCAATAATGAAAATGACCAAACATCAAATTATTTCAATAATGAAAGTGACCAAACATTGAATTATTTCAATAATGAAAGTGACCAAACATCAAATTATTTTCATAATGAAAGTGACCAAACATCAAATTATTTTCATAATGAAAGTGACCAAACATCAAATTAACTACCACATGTAAAAGCTCTAGGCAAAGAAATGAGAAGGGCAGTACTCCACCACTTTAAACCAATAGTTAAAACTTTTGATTTAGAGTTTTACCTTTTACATGGGCAAATTAACTGAAGCAGTTCTCATACTGAATGTTTATATAATTATTTCTGTTACATCCATTTAGCATTAGCAATACCAGACAAAAATAGCTTAATGTCAAACATATCAAGTTGTAGCCCTAATCATTACCGTAACATTCTGTATAATATAACATGAAGCCATGAATGCAGAGACAGCCAGAGTGGTAACCATGGTTACAAAGCTGGTGCCTGGGGTTGTTGTTTTTTTTTTTAGTTTTGTTATCATACCCTTGATCTCAACTGTGATGAACGTCCTTGTTATTGCTCAGTCTATCTCGTCAGATGCAGTTTCCCTCACCGATAGCTTCCCCCGCTCCCCACCATCACCTTCTAGCTCCCCCACCCCTCACAACTACCACACCCCGCTGCCAAGAGATTACACCAAAAAATTATTTGAATGTATACTTCAAAGTCATTAGAACCATAGTAACTTTTTAATGAACCATTAGCACAAGATCACCCTTGTCTTGATGTTGCCTGAGTTTACAACTGTATCCTATTATTAAAGACAATTGAAAGTTAAATGAACCAGCACAACAGGTTGATGGCACTGACCTCATGACCTAGTTGAGCTAAATACTTTGGTCCATCTTGCCCTGTTATCAAACGTGAAATACATCCCCCCCCCCCTTTCCCAATACAAAAACAAAATTGTTTAAAATAGATTTTTTTCCTTACATGTATTGTCATTACGTAAGTAAAAAAACATAAGTTGTAAGCATGTATGGTATTTGTTGAAAGGTTCAGATTTACCTAGCCATTGCTGTTGTAGGTACACAAGACATTAAGCTCAGGTGTGCCAAGAGTAAAACCAGCAGGCCTGTTCCATTACACCTTGAGATTAACTAGTTTCTACTGACCCATTTTCCCTTAAAAACTGTCTTCTTGCAGATCAAAAACTTTTATCTAAAGAATTTAAAAAATGTGATTAAAGTTGGTACATTAAAGGAAGTAAAAAATGCTATTTCTCTGGGGAAATATAATTAGATTATAATTACCCTTTTGATACTTGTAAATGTCTGTTTTACTTTTAAATATTTGATAGACATTTGGTGTAGTAGACAAAAGTCTGTTAGTGATGGTGAATTTTTTTAGTTGTTTGTCCTAGCTCATCTAAATGTTTAGTAGTACTTATAAATGTTAGGATTTTTGTAGGCTGCTTGTCACCATTGGGTTTGTGTTGTCACTAGTATGTGTGTCACCATTTGGTGTGTTATATTGCAGTTTGGATGTGTTTGTGTTACCATTTGGATGTGCTTTTGTCACCATGTGAATTTGTGTGTCTCACTATGTTGGTGTATTTGTGTCACCATTTTGATTTGTGTGTGTCACTATTTTGGTGTATTTGTGTTACCATTTGGATGTGTGTGTGTCACCATTTTGGTGTGTTTGTGTCACCATTAGGATGTGTGTGTCACCATTTGGATGTGTGTGTGTGTCACCATTTTGGTGTGTTTGTCAACCTCTATCACACCTGCCCATTACCACACACCTGACAACAAGAGGGTTTAAAGTTCTATTTTAGTCTCACCTTCTTGAATTACACAACTATTTTTAATCACCCAGCCAGCCAAGTGTGACCAGATTTTACTTACACCTTCTCAGTGGGACTTGACATAGTTCAGTGACTTTTTACACACTGCATGTGTCGTAGATATGTGGGATAAATACACTGACACACAGTTTCATGCCAGCTAATGAGTTAACACACAGTAATGATTTTTTCCCTGAGTGTTATGGGCTAATGACTGTAGTACTATAATACACAGTAATGATTTTTTTCCATAGTGTTATGGAGTAATGACTATAGTACTATAATACACAGTAATGATTTTTTCCCTGAGTGTTATGGGCTAATGACTGTAGTACTATAATACACAGTAATGATTTTTTCCCTGAGTGTTATGGACTTATGGCTGTAGTACTATAATACATAGTAATGATTTTTTCCCTGAGTGTTATGGACTAACGACTGCTCCGCCTCAGCACACAATGGTACCCCCCCCCCCCCTCCCTCCGCCCCTAATTAATAACACCAACGAGTTTTGAAAGCTCTGGGAAGCTGTGTAGGTGTGATCAATAATTCTGACCAATCCATTCCATTAGTTAGTCTTTGTGGTTGGGTGGCTGGTTTAGCCAGACTTCTGTGGCTCTGTGGGGGGGGGGGGGGGGGAGGAGGTGTTTGGGAATTTTACTCATACACCGTACCGTTCACCTTACTTGGTAATCATTTTCAGCTTTACTTTAACGAATGTCTTTTAATTAATAAATTACGACCGCTTTTCAACTTGAAAAGAAAAGAATTTCCTTAATTCGTGGTGTGTTTTTAAGTTAATTCACGATATTCGTTTTGTATTTTTATGTTAATTCACGATATTTGTTTTGTATTTTTATGTTAATTCACGATATTCGTTTTGTATTTTTATGTTAATTCACGATATTCGTTTTGTATTTTTATGTTAATTCACGATATTCGTTTTGTATTTTTATGTTAATTCACATTATAGTTTGAGGTAAATTTACCCGATCACATAACTAAATCAACAGACTCCATGACAGCACAAAAATAAAATCTGCTTTTGAAAGACTTGAACATGAGCAGAGGCGTAGCAACCCTTCCCGGGGACAAACTTTCGATTTGCACCCACCTCAAACTTTTGATTTGCACCCCCCTCCCCTCAAACTTTCAATGTTTTTCCAACCCATTTTGGCGCCCCCCCCCCCCCCAAGGTCGGCGCCGGGGACATATGTCGTCCCCCCCCCTTTGCTACGCCTCTGAACATGAGGTTATCTAACGTGGCTTTAAACTTCCTATACCCATTTAATTAAATTACTTCAGTACTTGTAGGAGTCCTATGCAATGTGAAGCTTCGTACAACAGGAAGTGACGTCATGTGTAGACAATGGGATTATGGGTTTTATAACAGCTCTGTCCATTCTTGTTCTGGTGAAATCACAAGGCAATGGAACAAAACAGTGGCAATGTCCTGCTGGGTGTATGGCTAGACGGGTTCTCTTGGGGTTATTAGTTGCAGTACAGGCAGTCTCAGCCACCTCAATGTTCAAAGGGTTGTTTCGACATAAGGACTTCAGCAGTACAGAGTGCGATTGCACGACTATAAAAAAAAGCGGACAAAACTTATGACTTATTTTCAACAAAACGTGTTTTGTGACATTAGTCTCGGTCACTGACTGGTATCCAAATGAAAGGCTAGAACAGTAGTCAAGGAGAGGTTTTGTTGTGCGATATATAGATCTATATATATATATAGATCTATATATATATATATATATATATATATATATATATATATATATATATATATATATATATATATATATATATATGTGTGTGTGTGTGTGTGTATGCCACTAACTTGGTTATCATTTCCTCTAAAGCGGCGAGGCTAAGAATACTGATTATATAATGTGTATGTACTTATATTTGTCCTAGGGTCGTATGCTTGTTGGGATTGAAAAGTGACCGTTGAGACATACATATAAAAACCGTATATGCACATT